CATCACCTCTGGCTCATACAGTCTTTTTGCCCCCTCTTCTACAATGATCTCTGAGCCTAGAGAGGCAGGAGTTTGATATAGGTATCCTATTCAGAGATAAGCACTCTGAAGCCTCTTGTTCTCCGCATTGGCCAGTTGTGGGTTTCTGTGTTAATCGCCATCTGCTGCATAAGGAAACGTCTCTAGTAAGCTAAGAGATGCATTAATTTATAGGTATAACAATAAGTCATTAGGAGTCAGATTAATACTATAACTCTTCAGTAGAAAACTAGTATTAGGCTTTTCCCTATGTCCTGTGACCTGTCCAGCCTCAGGCTCCTAGGCCTGATATCAATGTCAGATATCCTATGAAGTGGACCTTAAATCCAAATTAGAAAATGATTGGTCACTCTCATAACATTCCTGCCACTATTACATGGGAAGGACTCTTTCCAAGGCAGTTGTAGTTCACAGGATCACAGCTGAGTAAGGTTGATGATTATTTTTTTCCTTCCGTTAGCATGCACAGCACCTTTCAGCAGTATTAAAGCTTGGCATAATGTCTATCTAGTCCAATATTCAGACCCCTCAAGGACATTTTCTGTTAATTGGTTTGTTTGTCTTTTTCTGTGGATGACCATGGTTTCCTGGGGTTTTGTGTCTATTTTTTTCCATTAGAAAATAGGTAGTTTAGGACTGGAGAGATCATTCAATGGGAAGTGCTTGCTACACAGATAAGGACCTGAGTTCAGATCTCCTGCACCAACCCAAAAAGTTGGTTTTAGTGATAATGCCCACAATGCCAGTGCCAAGAAGTAGAGACAGGAGGATCCCAGGGACTTCCTGGCCTGCCAGTCTAGTCAATTGGTGAGCCCCATGTTCCATGAGAGACTGTTTCAAAAAATAATGTGCAGAGCAATAGAGGAAAATACCCAATGTCAACCTATGATAGTCACACATGCACACACAAGTGCAGTAACAAACACAAAGTATATACTTAAGATTTCTTTTGTGTGTGTTGGTGATCAAACCCAAGGCTTTGTGCATGCTAGGCAAGCACTCTACCACTGAACCTTATCCAAGCTCCCAAACTAGGCATTTTATATAACATATCAAGTTGGTTGTTGTTTTCTTGTTGATATTTGATAGTTTAGTAACTAATTTTGTGAAGCCTGTACTCCCTGTACTATATAGCCACTCAACCTCTGTGGTCAGCTAATTTTAAGTGTCTTGATCTAATAAATGCCCATTTGCTGAGGAGCTCTAGCACATGTGTTAGTAGGACTCACCCTCAACACTTAAAAAGCTTATAGCTCTGCCTTAATCTTCAGGGTCTCTACTCAGCCAGAGATGAGAAAATGGGATCTTCTCTGATTTTTCCTGGGCATGCATTCAACTTGGTAATGTGCAACATTTTAGAGTACCAGGAATTGTACTAGAGCTTTTTAAGTTCTCACTGGTGCCTTGCTCCCCAGGTCAGCAAATTTTGGCCAGACTCTTGCCTGTCTCACCTGATAAGAGTCCCAGGTAGCTAGGATGCTAAGCAATTGTCAGGGCTGTTTAGCAAAAATGCCTTGAGCATAGCAATTTTCAGCAGAATTAACTCCAAGTCAGAACCAAAAAATAAGCCCCCCTCAAATGGAGCTTGTCCAGGGAGCTTCCAAGTCAAGTCAAATAGTACTAATGTCCTAGGAATGAGGTTTGAGAGGAATTCTACTTATCAGCACCTCTGGAGCTGCAAGGTTACTGGTTTTTACAGCAACTGATTGTGAGATTTGCTTGTTTTCAAGACTATAGTGAAGCTGGAAAGTATGTAATGGGAACCACTCAGATTCTAATGCTACAAGGCCCATGATTCTGAGATTTGGAGAGTTTTCTTTAATAAACACTCATCAGATTGTTGCAGGCCTTTAATTTCTAAGGATAAAGAGCAGACAATCTTTTATCAAGAGTTTTCATTGTTTTGCTGGGGGGAGATGTATTTATAAGAGGTCTTCATTCTTTCATTCCACAAGCCCCAGATTCCTTGGAATAAATGAAGAACCAGATGATGAAGTTCAGAACTAATTTTGTGGCTACAGGAATAGCAAAGAGCAATGTGAGAGAATTATCAACCCTACTGAAGTATAGGCTGTACACAACTTTTATACATTTTAAGTGCAGCATGGTGGGTTACAGTGCTTTTATGCTTTAACATGTTTTCTGGCATAAAAAGTGGTAGTTTGATATATAGTGAAACAATTAGGGCAACACATCCATAACCTCAAATATTCTTTGTGGTGAAAATATTTAAATCATTTAGCTATTCTGAAACATACACCACCTTGGCCTTGTGTAGAACACCAGAATGTTTTCCTCTTGATTGCACACATGTACCTATTGACCAGTCTTCCCTTCCCCTGTCCCTCTCAACCAGGCTCTCCTTTCCACTAGCAGAATGGTCTCAGTTTAAGAAGTGAGATCTTGCTGCCTCCAGTTATCATTATCAGTCCACACTGGAATCTCCAGCAAGTTATTTCTTGGATTCCCATATAATTTTAAAATATTTTATTTTTATTTTGTGTGTATGAGTGTATTGTTTGTAGGCAGATACACCCGTGGTTGTGCAATGCCTGCAGAGGTCAGAAGAGGGTGTCAGATCCCCTGGAACTGGTATTATGGATGGTTGTTAGCTGCTATGCAGATGCTGGGAATCAAACCCAGGTCCTCTGCAAGATCAGTGTTCTTCACCACTGAGCCATCTCTCCAGCCCCAGATTCCCATATAATTTTACTGTGGTTCATTCAAAAGAAAATTACTCTGGCCTGGAATTTAGCTCTAAATACTATGTAAATCCAAAGAAAGTTTGCATATTGACTATTAAACATAAGTACTGGACAGAGGCTGAGGAAAGAAACTGGGTCTCATGATTATTCCATAATAAACTCAAGGAACCTGCACTAATAGTTTGTGCAGGAATGGGAGAGTGGATATCCTGTCTTGCTCCTGTTTTTAATGGAAATGCTTTGAGTAGTTCTCTATTTAGCATGATGTTGCCTGTGGGCTTGTTGTATACTACCTTTATTATGTTGAGATATATCCCCTGTATCTCTAGCTTCTCCATGATTTTTATCATGAAGGTTGCTGGATTTTATTAAAGGCCTATTCTGTATGTCATGAGATGATGTAGTTTCTGCCCTTAAATGTTTTATGCAGTAGATTGCATTTATTGACTTAACATGTGTTGAACCATCCTTGCATTTCTGGGATGAAATAAACTTGATCATGGTAGATCTTCTTTTGTAATATGCTCTTGAATTTGATGCACAATTATTTTGAGAATTTTTATTGTTCATCAGAGAGACTGATCCATAATTTGTCTGGTTTTGGTATTAGAGTAACACTGGCTTTGTAAAAAGAATTTGGAAGCGTTCCTTTTCTATTTTAAAAGACTAATTTGAGGGGTATTGGTGTTAGCTCTCTGAAAGTCTGATAGAATTCTATGCTATATCCATCTGGATCTGGGCTTTATTAGAGTTTTAATACTTTTTCTATCTCAT